CTCTGTTACCGTTATTTACATTATCACTACTTATTCTTCAATAAACTGATTTCATCATTGATCTCATTCCAAATCATTAATAATCACATACCTACATAAGGTAAACTAACTCATTACGTGAGTTCTCAGCAAAAGATCAATTAATCAGAAGAAACGCGTCATTGACTGGGCGTAAAAAGAAAATAAAGATTAATTAATAACATCCTCTAAAGAGAACCTCACATTTACTCGATTTTTGCCCTAGGGCACTGGTTCACCCGCAAAACCAAATCAACGAATTTCGATCTGAAATTTTGTCCACGAAAAGGCCTAATGGCCGCTAGAATACCCTGAACGTTTCAGACAAAACGAATGCATCCTTCTTAAGATATTGACTCCACAATAAATTCAGGGTCTGCTAATTCTTTTCGAGAAATAGTCGGTTTTTGAAAATTCAATATCTTAAGAAGGATACATTCGTTTTGTCTGAAACTTTCAGGATATTCTAGTGGCCATTAGTTCTCTTCGTGGACAAAATTTCAGATCGAAATTCGTTGATTTGGTTTTGCAGGTGAACCAGTGTCCTAGGGCAAAAATCGAGTAAAACGGTTATAACTCAGCCCCACAAGTGCATGGGCCCAAATCCTCTTAGAGTTATTCTAGTGTCGGGGTCTCCTACTTATCCCCAAAGTATGAGCTCAAAAGCAGTGAATCGCTTGGGGTAATTCCCTCGTCAGTCCTATTCAAAGTCAAAATATGGACTCGAATGGCGTCCGCCAGTTGGATATGTTCCCTTGTTAGAAAATAATTTTAGTTCTAAAACAAAAAAAAATTTCTATTTTATGTCTTTTACCACATATACTAACACCGTTTACTCAAAAGGAAAACTCTGATATTATCATTACAGCTGTCTTTTGATATTAGCGGATCCTTCTGCTATGAAAAATAATTTTCTATCCGAAATTTAAAATAAGATCTTTAGAAGATAGCCTTAGATTGTTAAATACTCAGATAATACGAACATGAGCTTTTCTCTGTGAATATTCATCCAACTATCGACAATGTTTTAGAGAATATAAGTCTTTGATTCCTTTAAGAAGTTGTATAAAAACCATGTGGAAATTAAGCATTATCTAATGCTAGCAAAATATCTCTTACTATACCAATAGTAGACTTTTCTTTAATTATCCATTATATTGACTTTCATTAATACAGTTTTCCAGCTTTATACTCAATGATAAAAAAGTGATTAATGATTGTTCACAAATAAAATATGAACATTTAGATCTAAGCGTGAAAGATATACTTTTACAAAGACAAAAAGTATTGCAATAAGCCCTTTTCCAAAGGTTTTCTCAATTGTATCTGTAGTATTTAATTCAGTTCCAACAACTGATTGTTTTTTTAATTATAATTCCATCAACTAAGTTTTTAATGCGACGAGAAAAACTTCAAATGCATGATTAAAAATCATCAAACCTCTATCTGTAATACATGAAATCCTTTTTTTTCTCTACTTTCAGAAAAACAATGCGTAGTGAGGTGTTTTTCATCATTCTAATGTCTTGATCTGTTCTAATCGTTAAGTATTGGTGATGGTTCATAGCCATTTTGCAGGCATTTCTTTCGATCCCTTTTTTGTTGAAAGAAAGTCAATCATATTAAGCTTACTTACGTCAAACCTGATGAGATCAACCTACTCTTCTCTAAATGATTGATCATCCAACTTATTGGTCAACTGCAAACAAACATTGTTATACGAAAAATTTCCAATTCATCATCTAAAATTTTCTGACATAAGAATTGTATCAATGCAGTTTTACCACATCCTTTAAAAAAAGAAAAGAAAACAATGATGCAATGACATAATAAAATTTCATATCTTATTAGTTTCATCCATAATTAAAACTGGTACATTACTATGGGTGTGGGTGTGATTCTTCTCTTAGCACATATCCAGACATCCATACCCACACCCTCTACCAATGCCATTCGACTATTGATGCATATCTCAGCGATTAGCCTATGAAAATTTGTATCTATGAACAAGATGATCACTGTTTCTCTTCTCTATTGTCTATATTTTTCAAATGAGTATTGCATATATATGAAATAAATAACATTGTAGAATATTCGAATAGCATGAAGAGAATAATTTCGGCGGTCTAGTGGTTTTTCGCGAGATGTTATATTGTAGATTCTCTTCAACGTCACTACAGTATTAAGTTGTTCGAGTAAAATGAACATATTTATTTTAGATTTTAATTTTTTGTTTGCTCATTCTTAAAAATAGAATTTAATACTCTGATGAAATAACAATAGTATTTTGTTACTATAGACATTGATAAAGAGACGTCGTATGATCACGTCTTCATCACTGAAGAAAATGAATTCGTCTCACATGGAACAATTGCCATCAGAAATACATTGTAAATATGAGTGTAAGTATTACATATACATCAATCAGCAGATATTCACACCCGCACTTCGTCAACATATGAAATTTTATTAATGAACAAGAAAAGGAAGTTTTTATTAGCTTTAAAGGCACTATATCTCATTTCACATACTTTAAGTTTTTGTTTGATTTATGTTTTCCCAACCAAAAATAATGATCATTTTCATTACTAAATATCATACAATTCGAACTGTTGAATATAGTCTGTTCTTTTTGTAACCATGCCATATCGACTAGTGACATTGTTGTTCCCAAAATGTTAACATGTAAAGTTTGTAGTCGAGGCATACTTTCTAAAATATAACCGATCGTGCCATTTGGTGATTGAATACATAAAGATAAATGTTGACATTTCGAGGAAAAAATTCGAATAATTTGTTGAATTTCATGGTTATTTATATGTTGTGATCGTGGATATCTTGCGCATAATTTTAGAGAGATAATCTTACGAGATAGATGATCACATATAGAAACATTATTCCAATGGTCTGTCGCTATCTGTAAAATTCTCTTTTCTGCAACTAATGAACTTAAATGACGTGCATTTTTCAATAGATGAAGAAAATTTTCTGGTAACATCGTTGTAGGATAGTTCATTTCTACATGTTGTAGTTTACTTAATACATGCATCCATTTAATTGAATCAAAGTCATTATAAATAGTCAAATTAATCACTCTGTTTTTATGAAAGTTTTCATCGGGTTCAGAAGATTTATAAAAGACTTCTAATGTTTTGACTTTGGAGAATATATTAGTATAGGAATTATCGTTATAATCATTCAATAGAGTTGAAATAGTTTTGATGTTAGTACCTTGCAAAGCTGTGTAGGTATCGAAAGGAAATGGTAGTGAGTAGAGAAGTGCACGACCACGATCAGATATATCACAACGAATAAACCATTTCTTTTCCAATATATAGAATGGTGTGGAAAATGATACAATGACTTCGTCCATTTGATAGGATGATTGCGATGAATATTCGATGTTGAAATAAAATTTGAAGATTTTTAATAATGGAAAGGAAGAACGAATCAAGGTTTCCCAACTTTGACCATTAGGAGGAATTCTCGCTCTTTGTGTTTGATATATTTCGAAACTATTTAGTAATGATAAATGAACAAGTGAACGTTGTATAAAATTCAAACATTCTTCATAATCAAATATAATTCTCAGATGTTTTAATGTTGATGGCCATGATAAATCATTCCTAAACCAATGACAATTTTGTGTTGTATACTCAATACTTTCAAGTTGAGAAAAATTCTAAACAAGTAATAAAGAAAATGATTCAATTTTCTGTATTTTTATAATTTACTTTTAGCCAATCAATCTGGGAACAAGCACTAAAAACAAATTTTTTCAAATTTGGAAGATCAAGTTGAGGCATTTTTTCACCACAAAGAGATTTAATTGTTAATGAAACAAGATTTTTTAGAGATGAAAGTTGCGATACAATCGTGTATGTCTTTCGAAAGTCTACATGTGAAATGACTAATGACTGTAATTCAGGAAAATCATTGATTAAAGAATAAGCTTGACAAAAGTATTCGACATAACCAGGTGTATGTTCATCATCAGAAATTCTTAATGATTTCCATCGTTTTGTATTTTGATGTTGAAAGACAAGATCAAATTTTAATTTACTTATTGATTGAAAGTCAAACGATTCACAATTTTCGATAAGTAAATGTTTGAAGCGATTATTAAGATATGAAAAGGCATAAATAGCATCCACTCCATTTAAATAAGAGAATATTTGAACAAGTAATTCATTAGGTAAATCTTCCAAGAAGGCTGAACAAGTTCGTTGTTGTCGTCGTCTTTGTTTTTTTCTCATTTCGTCTTCTTCTAACGTATGACGCAATTACATACATGCTTTCACGCTTTTTCTTCTGTCACATCAAGAAAAATATTTGACGATTCAGTTATTTCGCAATATGGGGCAACAGAAAGAAATATTTTTTACCAATTTATTTCATGTATGTGATTGGTGAAATCTTAACTAGTAAAAATATCAGGGCAATTTGATGCCCAATTATATAACCCTAAGATTTTGAAAATTTTAAAATCAGGATGTGAGTGTCGATGTGAGTGTGTGGAAATTCTTTTATCTCTCAATCACACACACATTGTCGTACAATCACATTAACTTAATCTTTATTGCTGTTCTGCGCTCTCCAGCATACATATACAATAGATTACATATGCTAGCTCTCGACTGTGGATTGTTTCTTTTACAGACAAGCGTATTGTGAAATTTAGATCATATCCATATTCTTCATTATATGTGACTTTAAGGGTGTGGATGTGGATGCATGGATGTGGGTGTCTGGCTGTGAGGTGTGAGTATCCGGGTATGAGGTGTGGGTGGCTGGGTGTGAGATATGAGTGTCTGGGTGTGAGGTGTGGGTGTCTGGGTGTAAGCACATGACTGTCTTCAGCAACATCCACAACCATCCACACCCTTTTTAAATATTAGGTAGATCTAACAAATTGCTTTTGATACGAGCGAGTGTTAGAGATATAATTCAAAGATATTACCTTTCATCGAAATACAAAATGTGTCGAGTATTTTGGGTGTGGGTGTGGGTGTTTTCGTTCTCTCTACCCACACCCACTCACACCCACCCACCTCCACCCACACCCACACCCACACCCACACCCACACCCACACCCTTTTGGATGAGATCGTACTAGTAATGGCTTCGTGTATCGAGTTTCACCTATCTATTCATAGTTTTACGATTCATACTATGACTCAGTACCTCATTAGCGTGGGCGGGCATACATTCGTAGTCGTTCAGAACTTTTCACACATTTTTGTGAAACAATTAACGCAACCAAAAGGATGCAAATCTTCTACTGAAAATAAAACTTTTTCACAAATCTCAATTCGCAATGTTGATACAATATGTATATGTTTTGCAATAGTCTGATCGACAGCTTCATGTAAAGCTGCAGTCGTTCTACAAAGAGATCACACCAGGTTTTTGTTTTGTCTCTACGCAAGTGTGCATAAAGTTTAAGATTCCTTCAAGTAATGCTGTGGTGGCTAAGAAATGCTGGTGTTCATATTACCATAGTAGGAATGGTGCAACACTCTTCTGGAACGAGCAAAAGTCATAAGAACTTTTCCGCTGTCATGCGTTTCTATCATATCATTCGCTCTACTGAAAGCAGGCTATTATGCAGAGGAAATGAGTTTCGTTTGTCTGTCAGTTCGTATGTTCGTTCGCGCAGAACGAAAAAAATGGCTTTTGAACTCAATGATGTAGATACGCAATCAGAACATCTAGACCACAAAAATCATGTCCATCCCATCAGATGTAGCTCCTACTCCTCCCTCCTGGTCAGACCAATCCGATACTGACAGCAAACACTCAGATTTCGAGGACAGAAAAACACAAGTAACATTCACCAACATTGCATGTTGATTCACGGGCCCCTAGACTGATGGAATGCTGACACAGATGTCTTTATGTGTCTTAGTAAAAATGTATTGTTTAATGATGAGTTTAGCACACATTAATATTTGCGAAATGTTGTATTTCACATACTATAGATATATTCAAAACAGTGGAGCTCAAAACATTGAAAGATGATGTTGCATACAGTAAAGAATATGCCTTAGTTGCTTGTAATGAGCAGGAATGCTGGTTTATGCCATAGTGCTGGCTATTTCTAATATGGATATAGCTACTTGTGGCAGAGATCTGTTCATTATAGTGGTAAGAAGTATCAACTATGATATAGAAACGATTGATAGCACCGTGAAAATTGAGTTTAGCCACAAAAAACAATTATGCCGAATAAATGGCCCCTTTTACCACGACTCATTATACTTTGCACTATGGCAACAGTCACTTGCACAACGATTATGGTACTTTGCACCATCACAACGGTCACATGTGCCATGATCCATAGCGCTTTTTACCATGAAAATGGTCACTTGTACCATGTGTTACAGACGGGCAGACAGACACAAGTGAATTTCCGTTTCTAGACCCTAGCCTTTCAGTCTAGGGAACGGAAATTTGATATTAAAGTGACGAAGGCTTCTAAGAGTGACATAGTGAGGTCGTGAGATCTGAAGAATCCGTTCTCGGTATGAGAGAGACATTAGTCAATCAGATTATTAGGGTTGGAAACAGCGTCTACATGTTTGTTTCTTGGTGCGTATGTGTGTCAATGGAGACTGGATGTTTCTAGGCTATTATATTCAAACTACTTTCTATGTGACTGTTACTCGATCACATCACAGGAGATTTAGTTGGGTTAGGGAAATGCTATGTGTGCATGAATTATGGAAAACTACGGTTTTCATGTTAATGTCTTTTTATTGATTGGTTCATTGTACAGGATGAACCGTCTTACGCGAAAGAAGTAATTTTTTTCGTTCGCTCATATTTTTGTGTATTTTGCTGTCATGTTTCCGTAATCATTTTTCTATATACGACTTCTTCCGTCAGAAGCCGTGCTATAAGTTTAGTTCTTGAGTATTCATTCTCGATGGATGAGATAACAGTGCGGGGTGTGAATGTGGGTGTGGGTGTCACTAATCAATCTACAACATCCACACCCACGCCCATACTAAGACCTAATAGTAAAGTCTTTTGTTGATATGATTAGATCTATTAGATAGGAGTAGACCATAGAGACAGTTGCTGAGTAATGACGCGACGCTGACGTAATTCATCAAAGGTAAAACTTTGACTTCGAGTATTTGATTTGATTTACCATTCGAATCACCACTCGCTTTTACAAAATGAAATAATTTAATAGAATTCTTTATCATAAATTGCTGGACTCCAATACAGACAGTGACGCGATTTTGTCATCGAGCTTTCATCTTCATCTTCCATACTACCTGTTACATGTAGATTCATCTAACAAATCGCTAAAGTCGCGATGATAACATAATGAAATAACATTATCAATTAGAAATGAGCAATTAGTAGAGCTTATTCTAGTGAAATAATTTCCAACTTATAAAGATATCATTACTTGAAAAATGTGCTAAGTAGTTCCATCTCAAGTAGCTGTCTTGCAGTTCGCTATCTACTGTGATATATTCAACATCAATGATACAAGACGATCTACTAATGCAATTGTAACTATCTATTCATTTTTATCAACTAATCATCAAAACACGAAATTATTAATTGGATTATTAGTTTTATTTCAACATCAAAAAACATAAAAATATTCGAAGAAATTCTGTATGCCACAAATAGAAAAATCGAAGCAGTCGAAAGGAGAACAAACATCACATCGTCATTCATTGAAATAAACTTTCTTAGTAGTTTGGGACAGCGTATATTAAGAAACATTTTACATAGTTTTTAAAGAATTGTCATCAATATAAAAATTGATATGATCTGTTGCAACATTATTTCTGATCGTAAAGTACTGAAATCAATGACGATTATGAGAAATATCTTTACAATACTAAATAGATTGGTGTCTTGAAACAAGTATGAGTGACTTCCAATCAGTAATCGGAATGTTGACCAGAAGAATATTGATTACAAATAAATCGCCATTTGTGAATTGGATTTTTCTATACTAATTTCATAAAGAATAACTGAATCGTGTCGTTGCTCTCATAATTAGGAATAAGATTCGACAATATCTATGATAATTATGATACTGGATTGCATTATAAAGTGATAGCCGCTGTTATATTGTTCCAAAACAACTCAATTCCTTATTTCGTTCATGTCGACCCGCAATGTTCTTTATTGTTAACATAGTACAACCATTTGGCAGATTAGAATCGTTTAATAGAATTTCAAGGTTTACACAAATAGTCAAAATGAAAGAAAAATATATAAGTTCAAATACAGAGAAAAAATATTTGAAATGTAAAGTATACGAGAGGCTAACAACGGACAACAACGAGAATACATAAGCAAAAATAATTACGATAAATAGAAAGCGTTAAGAAAACAAAACATAATCAAGAATAATAAGAATATTAAAGTAGCAGAGCTCATCAGTGACAGAGTTTCAATACCGTAATACTAATAGTCTGTTAAAATTTCTTCAAAAACAAATCAATATAATTCGAAATTTCATTGAAGGTTTAAGTTGTTTTTTATTGATTAACTTTAAATGAAACGCTATTATCACAAAATAAGTCGTGTTTTAGAAAAAGTCAAGTTCACGTAAGCATGGCTTCAGGATGAAATGTTGAAAAAAAGTTATGAGAGAATCAAATATTGAAAGTAAAACTACATTTGTCACTATTATCATATTTAAATGTTGATAATTTATTGAAATGATTTACAGTTCGAAATGTCGCATTGAGAATAAAGTTTGTCTTTTCAAACTATTAGATATATGATAATGATTTAAGAAGTATTTTATCATAACAAGACGCGAAAAATTCTTCAAAAACATGTTATCATGAGTTGTTTGGATACTAGTCATAGAGCTTTTCTCTTCTATCATTCTGTACTAAAGAAGTTTTAAGTTCTGAGTGAAATTCAAGCGATATACTACGTTTTATAGAGAGAATGTCTACTAAGATTTCGTTCCTATCTAAATTTGAAATTAACAATGATTAATATAAGTATAATTTCGGCAGAATAAGAAAACGAGAAAGAACACCAGTTAAAAATCTTGAATGTATGGACAAATTTAATAACAAAGAGATTTTTTTTATTTGTATACTTGAAACAAGTATAAAAATCAAACGACAGAAAATATTCTATTGATTAGTTTGTATGCACTTAATCCAATAATAAACAAGAAGAATAGACAATATTATGCATAGAATTTGTCGGAAGTACCACAATATCGAGAGAAAGCCCAGGCAGCATACAATGAGCAGAAAATAAAAATATGGTATTTTAAGCAAGAACGATAAAAGGGTACGAAAAATGTACCAGATCAAACGGTAATTTACTGAATTGAGCAGTGACAAGTTCCGATGCTCGAAGAATCTAACGATGGAAGGGGTTGTACGTTCACTGACTAATGTTCCGATCATCGGAAGATTTGCGGCCATGTCTATTTCGTGGTTTTTGGTGATGCCTTCTCTTTCTTGTTCGTAATTGGTATTTTCAAGCTGACTATATGCAATAACGTAATCTCTAGCATTAGCTCGAATTTGTTTAGCAATTGTATTATATTCTGTTTCTTCGTTTTCTTGATTTTGACTCGGTGCATTCTGCCTTTCATTAACAATAAAATAGTGTTGTACTCTTTCTGAAATAGCTTTTGTTGCCTCACCCATAAGATAACTACTCCATGGCGATATAAGTTGCGATTCTGTTATTTTCAAGACTTCATCTGTAATGATGTCTGATACTAGTTTCATCATCTTACTGAAATCACTCATTTCCAACCTATGCATATTTTCACACAAAGATTTTAGAAAATTTACAACTTTATACTGATCGTCAGAAAATCCATCAATGTTGATGTTATCTAATTTATGAAGTAAATCTTTGCTTGCTAATTCTTTATTTAGTTCTACTATCCCATTACTCGCAAGAACGTTCACCATATCCTGTGAAGACTCATCACTGAATGAACAATACGAGCAGAAAATTCGTTCCATTGATAAAGTTTCTTTATCTATTTCTATAAGTTTATCTAGCAGCTGCTGATGAGTCTCTTCAATAATAACACAAAGTTCATAAGTTCCATTAAGAGTACTAACTATTCGCAGAATTAAACTTGCTGGTGTTCGCAATTTATTCGTATCTGATAAAATACCACGACATAAATGGCCACCAATAGAAACTAATTGTTTACGCCATAAATTACGTTTCTGATTGATCATTCCAGTTATTATTCTATTGATTTTTTCTTCAAATATCTGATTTTTATTTCTTCTGTCAAGTGCAAACATTTTACGTATAATTGTCATCAAATGCGAATTAAAGAACTTATTAATAACCTTCTCTTGAATTGAATTCGAAATCTGCATTTTCATTTGCTCGAATACAAAGTGAGTTCCGACATTTGACAACTCAATTAAGCCTTCTCTTAGTACATTTTCACCGATGGTGACTCCTATTTGTTTCATAGATAAGCTTTTCAAATTTTTTCCAGTCTTAATTAATAGTTTCTGTGCTGCTCTATTATTCTTTATTGCATATGTACCAGTTTGCTCAAGTACTTCTTCTGTTGTAGCAGTGAAAATAGTGTTCACTCCTTTTCCTGCATCCTTAATTGCTGAAATTCCCATTGAAGCTGCTGATATAGTCAAACTAATTGCTTTTTGCTTTCCATAGTCTGACCAACTAAACTGTCTTGTGCTATAGGTACGATGGGCGACGAAAAAATCTGCTGCTCCTTCAGTAATTAGACCCATCCCTACGCTGGCTCCAAATGCAGTTGCTACAAGAGCTCCACCTACTGCCATTTGAACAGCAGCTATACCAGCTACAATGCTGATACTAATCCATGGAATGAAATTCTTCTCATTAATTTCAAGTAAATATTCGATGCCTCGTCCGAAAAATTCTGAAAGTTCTAAATCTGGTCTTAATTCATTCATAAATATTTCTCTTAGACTTTTGGTCTTGTTTATTTGAATGTTTTCTGTATTTATTGGAGCTTTCTCTATAATTTTTCGCGCCTGATTTTGATCTAAGTCTTTGAATGTCAAACTCATATTGGCATTTGTCTTTCTTATTTGTTGAATAAGAAATTCAGCTGTTTCCTCTTCTAATTTATCAAAATAAATGTTCATTGATTTTTCATCAATTCCATTTAAAACACTCTGAGTATCTATTCTAATAAAACTAATATTAAAAGTTCCTTCTCGACAAATATCAATAATGGTTTTGATATACTTTGGATTCACTCCGATTAATCGAATAGCTGCTGTTTTCTCTGAACTATTCTGAATTACTTTCTCAGCATGTGTCTTATCTTCAAATTTCTGTTTTTTTCTTCGAGAGGAATACAATTCTATTTTTGATTTATCTACAGATTGTATTACTTTCAAAATTTCTTCTTTTTTATCGAATATTACAAGGTTGATACTTTCAGACGTAATCTGTGCCACTTTGTTTGCAACATCTTGTCCATTTATTTCGATAAATTCAGCAGTTATTCGTGAGCAATTTATTACTTCCTCTTTAATACCTTTAAATATATCATTCGCAGAGAGAAAACTTATGTTGAAATATGCGTTATTTTCTGTTGTATTTTTAATGATTTCTATAGCTTCTCTAACTTGTATTCCCTTTTTTCCTTCGACAATGTTATTATCATGAATAATGTCTAAATCGACTTGATATGAATCGGGACGGAAATTTTTCGGTAATACATGACGATGAAAAAATGAACTTTTATCTTTTAAATGTGCTAATGCTATTTTTTTTGCAACATGTTTAACTTCAATGTTAGGATTGAATAGTTGTTTCAAAGTGTCCGAATTAATGTCTAACAGACTCACACTAATTTGTTGATAGTCTGTTTTTAAAAAGTGTTTTCGGTTTGGGAACCGTAAGCTAGATGTATTCGATAATTCTTTTACTGCTGCATTGATAGTGTCGATAGCTTGATCTATAGTTTTTGTGTCTTTTCTAAAAGTCAAGTCATTAAATGTTACTTCATATTTTCTACCATTTGATTCATTCTTAAAAGTCGCTACAAATTTTCCTCGAATACAACCTTTGTGATATGTAACATTTTGGTAAATTTGGTTGTAAATTTCGGAGTGTTTGCCCTTATCAAGAATATTGTCATTGTAACATAGAGATGAAAGGCACTTTTGAAGCTTAGAGTTGTTTACTCTCCATTCACTCAATTGATCTTTTGCTGTTTCTTTAAAAATCACTATGAATTCTTCTTGATCTTTTTTAATAATGATTTCTTTACACTCTCGAACAGCAGTTACATCAAAGTTGTCACTATCCGAAGACAATAAACGTATTTCACAAAATTTTCCAATATCTTTTTCAACATCTTCATATGAAATCGTTTCTTCTAACATGCAAATATCGGTTCGACTCTCGTTTTGATTCGAATAATGGATTGTTTCTTCTATCTGTATTAATCTTTGAGATTTTCTTATAATACTAATAAGATTCTCAATATTATTGCGATAAGTAACCAAAATACTACTTTTCTGAATTAACTGTTTATAGAGAGGAGTTTGTGTGTCGGAACATCGATTGAATAAAAGTGTTTGAATTGATGTCAAGCGACTAATTTCTTCACTTAAAATGTCACCTGCTCGTTGAAATTGTATAATAGCTAGATCCTTATAACTTAGTTCTTGCTCATTCGAAACAATAATTCTTTCTTTACCTTTTAATAAAAGCCATCCTTTTCCAACAAATGCAGCTGCACATTGATCTGAATCAAGATCTATGGCTCGATTAAAATGTTTCATCGCTTCATTATATTTACTATTAAGTGACGAATCATTGATAACTAAATCATTACCAATGATAATATGATAATAAGGGTTTTCAATAACACATTCTTTATCATAATCATCTCGTATTCTTTTAGCAAATTTATCGAATTGAGCATGAATTGTTTCGATATCGATAGGCGAATTTTCATCATCAATTTTACGTAAAAACATCACCCATTGTTCTTCAATACTAAGTAAAGTATTCGATTCAATAGCAGATGGTTTCACATTTACCACTACACTCTTAATAGCATTCTTTTTATCTGTAAAAAAGTTTGTTTTCTTCCTAATTTTCATACGTATTTCATTCAATAAAGAACAGAACTTAGAGAAGAGATTATCTTTTAAGTTAATTACTTTTAATTCATTTTGTTCAAATTCATCTAAGATCTTTGCTTCATTTTCATCTCTAAGTTTTGTAATCTCCTCTATGTTGAAGCTTCCATAATGAATTAGATGAACTGCATTTAATATTTTTTGACTCGTACCTCGTTTGCCTTGTCGTGAAGTTCTACCAAATGCTTGTTCTTCAACACGCTGATTCATCGGCATAAAACTTACAATAACATGAAGACCACCGTGTTCTTCTATTTTATCAGTTTTTATATCTGTACCACGTCCAGCTAGATTAGTTGCAATGATTATTTCTCCAGGATGTATGACTTCAACATTTTGCTCTTGATTCATGTCATTCATTGTGTAAACCTTAATCGGACTCGAACGATATTTATGTTGAAGCTCTTCCTCTATTATCTTACAGTGTTCGATTGTCTCACAAATAATTAAAGTTCCTCTCTTTTTCTTTGCCTCAAGGATTGCAGAGTCACGTATTTCTTTGACCCAATGACTCTCATTATCTACTAAAATATCAGGAAATATAAGATGTTGTTTTTGACGTAAACTAGGAATTAGAGCTAAATCTAAATTGTAAACTTTTTGTAATACCTCTTTAGCCTTTTTTGAACCAAGTGTTCCTGTAAGACCAAATAAATTCGAACCGTACCTTTTAAAGTATCCTACATTTGATAGAAAATTAGTAGTGAGAGTTTCTGATGTCATTTTCAAATTATGTTTCAGTTGTAAAAATTGATGCAATCCATCACTCCAGTTCGAAGACTTCTGTACGACACCTGTACTGTTGTAATCGACTGGCTTAATCAAACCTTCATGTACAATATACTGTACGTTTTCTTGATAAATTAAAGCTGTTATAGCATTATCTATCCACTTCGAGATTTGCTTATCAACAAAATTTTCAAGATGTTTTGGTATTTTAATATTCTGCATAATAAACGAACTAAAATATTTATCTAAACTATTCTTAATTATCTTCTCACCCCCGTCATCATTTGGAATTCTGAATCCAATATGACCTATATCTTTAGTTGAAGCAATATAATCTTTTAAATTTTCAATACGCATTATATTTCCATCATCATCACCATATTCCAATATAATTTGATCTTTTCCGATTACAGTTTTCCCGTAAAACAAGAACATCTGACCATCTATCTGAATGATTTTATTTTGTAACAACGAAAGATGATTCCATAATAAATGATAAATTATCTGTAATTGATCCATACCAGATATCGTTGTTGAAAGTCTGGCAATCTTCGAACTATCATCAATAAGCATACTATCTACTTCATCGACTATTGCAACATGACATTTTCTATCTCCTAATGTATTCAATTGGGCATATTCTGTTCTTAAAGTATCGAATTGAAATTGTGCTACTTCACCGTAAACAATATCCTCTTTGTAACAAACTTTTGGACCTGATAAATAAATTACCTTGTCATTATTATGACTACAACCAACACCGAACATTTTATAGAATTTAGCTTTTTCCTTTGCGTCTCTTTCAGCAAGTACTGGAGAACTGGTAATTATATCTACTTTTTTACCCATTAAAACATAAAATACAGCTAATACACTTATTATTGTTGATTTACCTTCACCAGTTGCTACTTGTAATAATCTTCCTTTCTCATTATTCGAATTTAAAGCAATTAAACAACTTAAAATTTGAGTATCTGTTAAATAAAATCCAGTGTGTAATAAATTTGCTCGTTTTATTACTGCTAAGGTTTCTATGATAAAATTTTCTTTATTTGTACGACTGACATTATTTTTCACTAATTTCGCCCATAGGCAAATGTCATTTTCATTCCATTCATGAATAGATTTCTTCTTCAATCGAACAGATCTACTAACGTCTTCTTCATGGAAGATTCTAGAAGTTAATGAATGATCTTTAATTTCTCTTATCCACTTTAATAATGTTTCTCTACTGAAAAGTTTCAAGTGATCATTGCGAGAATTTTGAGTAATGAATTCATCAACTAATTCTTGTGAATTTTTCTCTCTAACTTTATCAGAACAATTAATTTTAATGGCAATTTTATTTATTTCTGTTGACCAATCTTCCGGCTTATGATCTTGCAAGGCTAATAGAATTTTTTCTTTATTCGTCGAAGAAATTTTATAATTTGATAGAATTTCGAGAACATGCACAAAATATTTTGTCTCATTTTGATGAATTGATTCTTTAAAGGCTTTGAATAGAACAGTTAACTGTTCAAATAACCAACTCTGATCTAATAATTTATCCAGAATGGTACCTAATTTAAACCTATCAATATCTTTTATATAATTTCCTAAAACTTTTATTTCTAACGATCTTCTAAATATTTTAATTGTTCTTTTCTCAACATAGATATCAGGTATTTTAATATTATTTGTTTCAGCGAATTTCAGAAGATCTTTAAAATCTGTTAAACTATCAATACATTCAAGTGCATGCAACATTTTTTGACTAAGATCAAAATCAAATTTTGACATTATATCAGAATATAACTTTTCAATATATTGTGGTGCAATATTATTTCTGTTATCTAACCGTTGACGTATCATTGTTGTTAGATATTCCTTTTTTAGGTCAAGTAGATTCTTACTATTTGATAAAATCTTTTGTCCATCTTCAAAAGAAACGTCTTTTAAAAGTTTTATTGCTTGGCAAAATTCATCAAAAGAAATAGGATTATTTAATAGAAAACGATGTAACATTTGTAAAATTATGGTATTTATACCGCTCGTGTATTCGTTGCACCTTTCAATACCAAACCACTCCACATAAAGTGTAGAGTATTCTCCTTCGTTCAATTGAAACCTTTCTATTAAATCCAAAATTAAAATTTCTCTGTTCCATTGATTTTTTGGTTTATTACGAATTTTATTAAAATCATTGAATTTAGATGAGGCTATAGTTTCAAACAGATCAAAATCTATGTTGATTTCAAGTTGAGTTTCTTCTTCCAGTTTATTGATGATGTCAGCGCACCATTTGTCAAATACAGAAGAAGATGAACCTTTTTCAACAGCTACTCTTAAATCTCTAAACGCCCAACTTCGAAACTTATCATCCTCATTAAAAAGATTGTTCTCTAGTTGTTTTAACTCCAAAATTTGTGTAAATTCAGAAGCCAAAGCAATACATACAAAAATGTCAAAATGAAATTCGAGATAATTATTCTCATTTAGAATATTGTTGAACATATTGATTACTCTCGAGAAATTTGTTGTTTTACATTGTGTTCGTTTGATAATTTCTTTATACGTGTCTAAAATATTTTTCGTTATACTTTTAGATAAAATTCCTTTTTCTAAACCATCAATAAATGGATTAAAACGATCATCCGAATTATCTTTTAGAATTAAAGCATAAATATCTGTTAATTCTTGCTCTAATTCTCCGTTATGTTGAATGTATTCTTCTGAAATCTTGTATGTAAGTAACTGATCAATAGATCTATTAGAAAATTTCTTATTTTCTTGAAATTCTTTTCGCATGTTTCTTAAAAGTGTATCGAGAATTTCTCGGTTGGTTCCTGTCATTAAATCAATATGAGGTGATAATTGTATTTTATCTTGCAGTTTTTTTTCTTGATTCTGATCAGCAATAAGTGATATGATTTCATCTGGTACGACTCTTCCCGCTTGAGCTATTTCACTTATTAATTCACAACATAACGACTTGATTCGTTCTGAGTTAGTACTATCTAATAAAACAGCAATACTTTCTAGTAATTCATCCGGAATACTTTTCTTATTTGAACATTTTCGTAAAACCCTAAGAGCTTGAGGTTGTAAGTCTTTATTGTTATTAATTATAGAATTGATTCGATCAAAAAGTTGCTTGAATAATGTAGGTTTCTCTAGTTCAGTCAATGCATCCAAAAGTTCAGCATCTGTATAACGTACCCAAACAATTGAATCATACTTATATTTCTGATTACCTTCTAACTTACAGTGCCCTAACAATTCGACAATGTCTTCTTTTAAACTTCCATCCAGGACTAAGTCGGTCACTATTCGTAAAAGGAGATCAATAGTTTCTTTGTCGAGTTCTATTTGACCATGTGAAATTAGTGTTTTTAATCCACTAATACTCTTAAAAATAACTTCTTGATTATCTGTTTTAAGAGCATGAACTAACGCTTTTTGAACAAGAGAAACTACACTTATATTGAGTGTATTCCTATCTGTATGTTGAGAAAGAACCTGTCTATGGCGTTTGAAGTAAATCTCTTTTTCAATAATTGAACAAATAAAGGGTAAATATTGATACATAGCCAATGGATTTTTTATAGACAAAAATTTTTCAATAATTTTTCGAATGATTCCTTCAGGTAGATTTTCACCTCTTTGTCCTTGAAGTAGAAAAATAAATAGAACTTGATCAGAAATTGCTGGATTTTCTAAAGCTTGTGTTAATTTCTCTGAAAGGCCTTGTGATACATCCTGATTGTTTTTAACTATATTTTCAAAGATTTCAATCAAATAAGATATCAAAGCAGATTGTTCAAGTTTTGGATTGAATATGTTCACAAGCTTATTAATTAAGTTATCCGGTATTCTCTGTCGATTTTTTGAAACATTTAATAAAACACTAAAGATATTTTCACTAGATATCGATGATGAACCAAGATCTAAGTTACTCAATGCTCTGAATATACTTATCGTAACTTTATTTCCTTCCTTAGTCCTTTCACATAAGTAAGTAATAGCATTACTAGTATTAGATAAAGACTCGCCAATAGCTCGACTCGTCCTTTCTAATTCCAATTTGTCAAATAGTTCATCTGATATATCTTGATTGTCATTAGTCTTATCCAAAATATCAAATGACTGTTTTCGTTGTTCATCATTGTCTAATAAATAAAAGTTATCAGCTACAATATGCAAAAGTTTTTCACTGATAACTCCATTATTATAAACTATATTTTCCAATAATTTTAAAACTTTCATCGACCACTGAGATATACTAGCGACATTTTCCAACGCAAATATTGTACTTTCTTCAATAGAATATCCCTTGGCTGAATATTTAATAAGTATTTCGATTACCTCTTCTACATAGTTCTTCTCAAACAAAATAATATCATCAAAAATTTTAATAATATTTTTTTCAAACAAATGATACTCTGCTTCATTAGATAATACAATTAAAACACTTTGATTGACTGAATCAGTGAAATTTTCTTGTTCTAGTTGCAATTCTTCAAATGCATAAACATTGGATAGAAAATCAATGTGACTGTTCAAGATAGGTATTTTAGCTGACGATAGTCTTTCCAAACCTCCCACATACGCAACTGTTGAATAGATAGCAACATCGGATATACTACTGTTTACATATTCTTGTAATGTCAATAAGACATCATTTTTAATGATGCGATTTTGTGAGACCAAATATAATGCCTTCGCTGATAAAATACAAGTTTGTTTATCATTACTATTAAATGCTTTAACAAGATTTTCAATGCTTTTGTCACTTATTTCAATATTCCGCTGCAAAGAATTAACAAAAATCTCAGCAACTATCGATGACATAAATTGGCAACCGTGATTATCTTGTGAACTATGTTCGAAACTAATATCGTGATCATCTCGAACTAAAACCCAGTCTTCTAATAATGTTACCGAGAATTCATCAATATTTTTTATCACATTTTGTTTAGAATGAACATTTATAATTAACATACAAAAATTATCAAGTTTACTCTTGCCTTTGTTAATGATTTTAGTGAGTATCTCGATCATAAAGTCAGGTAAACCTTTATTTTTCTCAACGGTTAAAAATATTGATTTCAATGCCTGAGCTATGGTATCTTCGCTGTATTGTGAATTGTTTAAGAAATGAATATAATTTCTGAGTTGCTGTTCATCCAAACCGTCAGAAGAATTGAGTGAAAGATAATTATTGATTGTTTCACAAGCTGTTACTTTTATCTCTTCATCTAAAGTATTCCTCTTGAGTAAATTACTTATTTTGTTTATTGTCTCGTTATTAAATAGATTTTGACATCTTCTCTCATCTCTACTCTGATCGTAAATATAATCCATCGATTTTTTGGCATGATCATCTAGATCGAGTTGTTTTAAATATTCAACAAATATTTTTTTATGATCTACAGTCCCTTCATTCCCTAAACCTAATATTCCAAGTACGCGCATTTTGAACCCATTATCCGTGTCTTCTACATATCTTTCAATATGATTCAATCGTTCACGAGTTAAAATTGCGCTGTTACGCTTTGTAGAATTATGAATGGCTAATATTGCTGTACATCTTAGTTTTCTTAATTCAGAGTAAATTATCTCTGTAACCTGCTCTTCACTTATTTGTGATGTATTTTCACTTGTTTTTAAATAGTTTCTCACAAAATCATCGTCTTTTATTTCCATATATTCTTTTTTGATGGATTTTTTCCAATCAGAATCACTAAAAACTTGCTTTTCTACCTTTGCTACATCATCTATGCACTTCATTAGTAAAGTTATTATTTCATCATTTAAACATTGTTTTTCTGACATATCAAGAAATATATCAGCAATCATTCTATCTATTACTAGCACCCATATATGACGCGAAGAAGGATTCCAAATCCATTTCTTTTTAACTCCTAAAAATTTCGAGGGCAAATATTTATTTTTATCTTCTGCTTTTATTATCATGCCATTTTTCATTCTTTTATAAAATTGCAAAACTTCTTGATAAGTAGTATGGGAAAATTTTGTGTTACTTCCCTCAGGATCTAATACATCCGGAAGAATTTCTTCGTTTACGTCATGTTCGTAGTTTCTTTTTCTAATCCTAAGGACATTAACAAAACTTGATATATCAGTCAATGTTTCAAACTGACTATTTTTCTGTTTTACTTTGATTGTTTGTTGAGTTTTTGTTACTACTGTTCTTATCTGTTTTTGAGGGTGATTTGCAAGCACTTTCAGTTGCATCTCAGTCTTTCGTCGATAGTTACTGTCATTTACATGATGTTGATCTTTCATTTGTTCATAAAAGAAACTAGAAGCTTCGCTACTGATGTCATTATCGTTTTTTTTAATTATATCTTTAATCTGATCTAATAAGTTTTTATCGATTGGCTTGTTATAATTTTTACGATGAGAGTTTTTCATTTGATAACTTATAGTCCATATGATTTCGGATTTCACATCAAATGAAACAGTCTTATTTAGTACATCTAAGCATTCTTCTAGATTCACATCAAAATCTTTCTTAACAGAATATTTCATAGCCTGCGCAAGACGTAATTTAATGAAGTCATCAATGTTATCATCTTTCAAGTCGTTACAAATCTGTTTCCATTTAACATTTGGTAGGCCATGCTTACGTGCGACGTACTTCATCTCGACTGAGACTGATAAATGGAACCTCTTATCCAGTTCGTAGCCTTCATTAACTTTGGCATAAATCAATGTCCGATTGAAACTCTTATATATATTGCTGAGCTCTGCTCTTATTTTCTCTCGTTTTTCTTCCATAAATTTTATCACGTGTTGAAAATCAAACAAGAAGAGGTAACAGAAAAAAAAAAGAGAACCAAGCAAGAAAAAGTAATGTATTTTACCGCAGTTTGACTGCTGGGTTACCACCAGTAGAAACAAATTGAATCGAACAATTTAATTTGCACTTAATATCAGTAGGATAAGTTCCCGAGTTGTTTTTATTGGTTTTTTTTTATCTAGAATTTGAAATGCATGCTGTACAATAACAATTAATACAATGGGAATACATTTGAAATCAATTCAAGAGTAAATATTTCTCAAAATAATGAATATTGGTATAGTTTCATTATACCTAGTTATTAAAAGCTAAAAGTCCTTCGCCATTTCTCGTATACTTCCTTCTTAAGAGAAAGCCGGGCGGTCGGAACCTGTCGGACGGAGGGTGTGGGTGTGGGTGAGTCGTAGTGTTCTTTCCATTCACACCCACACCCTCCGAAAAATTTGAACCTAATTTTACTCCATTGAGAGTCAGCATTGAACCCTGAATATTTTTCATAGTTTTATTTTCTACTTTATCACAACCCAACTTTTCACATATGGGGTCCCCCTCAGGTATCAAAAATACATTTTTTTCGCTGCTCTATCACAGGTATTTAAAATTCAATACTATCAAGTGTACTGATTACAAATATCTCATTTGTTTTCAAAAGTACTCAGATAATAAGAAAGATTGAAAGGATTCCCTAGCATCATTAAAAACTAGGTTTTGTACAAAATTTTACTGAAATACGACCACATTCGTTTCATCGAGATCAAAATGGACTTGACTTGATCAAAAATTCCTTTTCTAACGACAGATTCATTAGAAAACATTTTCGTAACTAATTTTTATGAAATATGCATTATTTAATGCATTAGTCCAAGGTTGACTATTGGATTAACCCAAAAAATTGACCTAAAACTTTTTATGGGTAGGTCGGAGATGGAATTATATACAGTTGTGGACAAAAGTAGGTACCCCTCTAAAGTGATATTATATTCCATCATTTCGAACTCATCTTTTGCGGGAATATCGGCCTCATTGAATCCTGATCGCAAACACCACCACGCCCTCAATCGATTGACGTTGACCCAGACAGAGATAAAAATGGTAAAATGGCATTAAAATGCCTATAAATAGTAATTATTATAATGATGTAAAACGGTCACAAAAAATGCTTTTCATGTGAGGCATTAAAGTGTGCGTCATATAACGCATTAAAATCGTTATTTTTTGACTAGTGATGGATTTGTTTGTATTGTTAGTTAATAAGGTTAGACATATTCGGGCCAGATTACAGTTCTCATCATTAAACTAAGAAATTTAAAATATAAGCTTCTGTTACTATGCCTAGACCGAGGTATTCGAATTTTAGGATATTTACACCATATATTAAGTACTTACAAATCAAAATTTTAGCAGAATTTTTTCTTTTTTTGTCATAGTTGGATAGAGCTCGTCAAGTTATATAAGAAAAGGTACGTTTCAAATTCAAAAAGAAATATTTTACGAAGAAGTCCAATATAAAATTATTTTCAAATATATGGGGAAATAGACCCAGAATTTTTATTTCGTAAAAATTGTTTTGAATTTGAAGCATACTTTTGTATAACTGGATGAGCTCTATCCAGCCATGACGAAAAAAGAAAAAAAATTCTGCAAAAATTTTGATTTGTGAGTACGTTTCACATGGTAAAAATATCCTAAAATTCGAATATCTCGGTCTAAACATGACAACAAAAGCCTATTTTTTAAATTTCTTAGTTTAATGATGAGAGCTGTAATTTGACCCGAATATATCTAACCTTATTAACTAACAATGCGAACATCTCCATCACAAGCATTCTAAATGCTCAACTCGTCTTTTGACTTGTTCTCTTCTTGGTACAACATCTATATTTTATTCAATGTATCCTCTCTATAGAACTGTTTGTATACTTTTTTATTTGTATCAAACGTTAATCTAAGTTACTCGTTAAGAGGCAGAACTTAATTAAAATAGAGTTGAAACATATTACACTATTTTATTCAAAACAGGGCATCGAACAGATTTCTATTTTTCAGCGATTTGCTATAATCTATCGCTGACGTCTTAGTATGTGTTAGATATTACTCGTTAACATAAAATTTAATTATGAGATCTAATTCTCAATGCTATATCGAATAAATGGAAAAAACTTGAAGTCGTGTTCATTAAACTCAGAGAGATATGAAAGACGAAATAGACCGCACTAGTAAATTACACAAATCATTCGAAAGAAAATTTGTCAAACGTCTAAATTGCTCAAAAATCAGAGGGTCGATTTTTTTATTCTATTTTTTCATTCATAGTTTAACATGTTCTGAGTTGTATTAAGTAAAAAGACGGGTAACATGTTACTAGTAGATCATCTTCATTTTAAATGAATCGAATTTGTTCTCTTGTTCCTTCTCGATCAGTGTTCTTTGTTTGAACACAAACACTATCATCGATCAATTGGAATAAACTTATCAGATAATTTAGATATAGAGAAAACAAAACAAAATAGAAAGAAAAGAAAAAATAATATTCCAGTGAACGCTCGGGTATAAACAGATATAATAATAAATGAATAAAGAAGATGATGATAAATATACAATTATCTCGAGATAAAAATTCATTCTGAATAAAAGCTAAGAATATTGTACCTCATTAGTAGAAAAAGTGTAAAAAACTAAAAATATCGATTATTCGTTCATTAAAAGGATATACCTTATTCTTAAACCATCATTTGAAGAAATCGTCGAATGAAACAAATTACCCTTTTTTCAATTAGTGGCATTCGATTTTGAAGAAAAAACTTTTAAATATGGTACATGTCGTGAAGAGTACGATTCTCCTCGATTTGAGAATTGTCGATTCATTATTAAAGTCATGCAAAAACTAATTGTTTTTGATTATTTCTAAGTTTCTCTTCATCATGATCGCAAAATCCGTTTGCCTCTTATTGCGTGAATTTTGAACTATATTCTTGACAATTGTGNTTTCAGAAGGTATGGAACCTCGTTGTTCCTGAAAAGTTCACCATGGGCAGAAATCCTTTATACGCGGGTACTGTACTCATTGAGCTCTACAAAATAACAAATACCCGATTCGAAACGGAGACTCACACTTGGGGACCTTCCCTCGTGAGATATATTAATCCTAATACCTTTACAATCACTAGTCATAATAGATCGCTTCGTGATGCCCAAGTAACCAAGCAAGGTAGGTTTCGATATTGCCCGATCGATAGTGTCAATAGCTTGATCAATAGTACCGATATCTTTTCTCACAGTAAGATCATTGAATGTTACTTCATATTCTCGATCTGTTGATAAAGTTTCAAGGGGTGCTAAAAAGTCTGCTCGAACGTATCCATTTTCAGAGACGATTTTTTGATAAATTTTATTGTAAATTTTAGAATTTTTATTTCTATCACAAATAGTGTCATCGAAAGAAATGGATAAAAAAGCCAATTATTCAATTGGTCATCATCTATATTCCATTTAGCTATTTTATTTTCCATTCTATTTTTATAAATAGCTACAAATTTATCTTCATCTTTCTTTGAGATCCCAATTTCCTCACAATTTTCTATCGAAGCATTGTATCGGTCAGTCTGACAAGAGGAAATTAAACGAATATCACACCATTTCCCAATACCTTTCTCGATCTCGTCATGTGAAATTACTTTTTTCAACACTCCAATATTATCTACATTATTTTTTATTTTGTCGCAATCGATGATTTCCGTTATTTATATTAGTCTTCGAGATTTTCTGATTACATTTACAACATTTTCTAAACTATTACAATAACTACCTAAAATATTAATTTTTTGTACTAGTTGTTTGGATAGAGCGCTATTGATATTTGAAGATCTCTTTTGTAAAAGTGTTTGCATAGATGTTAGTAAAGCCATTTCTTCAGCTAAGATTTCAAGTGCTCGACGAAATGCTCTCATACCTCCTTCTTTATAACCGAAATCTTGTTTATTCGAGCCGATCAACTTTTCTTTACCTTTTATTAATAACCATCTTTTACCAACGAAAGCTGCGGCACAATGATTTGGATCAAGTTCAATGGTTTGATCGAAATGTTTCAATGCTTCATCGTATTTACTATTCAACAATGAATCATTAATAATTAAATCATTGCCTATGTTGATATGGTGATAGGGGTTCTTAATGACACAATCATTTGCGTAGTTACTCAATATGTTTTCAATAAATTTTTCATAGTCAGTATAAATTTTTTCTGTGTTGACAGGAAACTTTTCATCATCAATTTTGCGTAAAAACATAGCCCATTGTTCTTCAATACTGAGCAACGTATTCGATTCAACAACAGACGGACTTACATGTATAAATGTACTTTTTAAATTAGTTTTTACTTTTGTCCACAAGTTAGTTTTCTCCCTAATTTTCGAGCGTATTACTTTTAATAACGAACAAAATTTAATAAAAAGGTCGTCCTTCAATGTAATTATTTTTAATTCATAATTTTCAAAATCACATAACATTTTTGCTTCAATTCCATCTCGGAGTTGTGTGATTTTTTGTATGTCAAAATCTTCATATTCTACTAAATTAATTGCATTTAAGATTCTTTGACTTGTACCTCGTTTACCTTGGCGAGATGTTCTGCCGAATGCTAGTTCTTCGACACGTTTATTAGACGGCATAAATGTTACAATAACATGAAGGCCGCCATGTTTGTCTATTTCTTCCGTTTTTATATCTGTACCTCGTCCTGCCAGGTTCGTAGCTATAATGATCTCGCCGGGATTTATATGTGCGATATTCTTCTTCTGATTCATATCATTCATTGTATAGAGTTTAACTGCACTCGAACGATATTTTCATTGAAGTTCTTCTGCTATTATTTTGGCACGTTCGATGGTCTCACAAATAATAAGAGTCCCGCGTTCTTTACTCGATTCATTTATTGCTGAATAAGAAATTTCTTTTAACCAATCTTTTTCAGTAATGACTACAATGTCCGGCAGAGAAAGATGCTGCTTTTGACGTTGACTCGGAATAATGACAAAATCTACTTTATAGACATCGGCTAATACTTGTTTATCTTTGTCGGAACTTAGTGTACCCGTAAGGCCGAACAATTTCCTACCATACCTTACAAAATATCCTCGATTAGATAGAAAATTTGTCGTAAATGTTTCTGATGTCATTTTGAGTTCGTGTTTTATTTGTAAAAATTGATGTAATCCATCACTCCAATTCGATGAACTCTGTACAATACCTGTACTATAATAATCGACTGGTTTTATTAAACCATCATGTACAATATAATGTACATTCTCTTGATAGGTCAATGCTGTAATGGCATTCTCAATCCATTTCGGTATTTGTGAATGAACAAAATCCGAGAAATTTGTCGGTACTTTGATATTTTCCTTGATGAATGTTCGAATATAATTATCTAAGTTGTTCTTAATAAATTCATCTTCTTTATTATTTGGTATATATTTTCCTATACTACTTATATTAGATGTAGAGGCTAGATGAGCTTTTAAATCTGGAATAATAACGAAATCTCTTTGTTCATTTACATATTCGAGTGTAATTAGTTTTTCTTCGAACTTAATTTTTTCATAGAATAAATACATTTTATTGTCTAGACAAATTATTTTCTCTTGCAAATAAACAAGTTGATTCCATAGTAAATGATATATTATCTGTAGTTGATCCATGCCTGACATAGTCGATGCTAATCGTGCTATTTTCTATCGGCTAAAGTATTCAACTGCGCATATTCTGTTCTTAGTGTATCGAATTGAAATTGTGCTGCTTCACCAGAAACGATTTGTTTTTTGTAACACGTTTTAGGGCCTGATAAATAAACTGCTTTATCATTATTATGACTACATTGAAGATCAAACATACTGTAGAATTTTTCTTTTTCTTTTGTGTCTCGTTCTGCGAGTACAGGTGAGCTCGTTGTAATATCTATGGTGCTTCCTAGTAAGGCATAAACAACTGCTAATACACTGATGATAGTTGATTTACCTTCGCCAGTTCCTACTTGTAGTAATCTACTTTGATTATTATTCAAAACCATCAAACAACATAGAATCTGTGCATTCGTAAGATGAAATCCAGTATCTATAAAGTTTGCTTGTTTGACTACTGCTAGAGCTTCTATAATGAAATCTTCGGAATCGATACAAAGTGTAGCATAATCTTTGACCATATTTGTCCATAGACGAATATGATCTTTTGTCCATTGCGAGATAGAAATTGAAGGAATTCGATCCTTCGGATTTGAGTCTTTTTCTACAATATTCTTGAACAATAATGACAATAAGTTTGAACTTTTAATTTTTTCTATTAAATCTAATAGTTTTTNTATTTTTGATACTGATAAGAATGCTAGAATTTCATCAACAAAGATCAAAGTATAATTTTTTTTTATTTTTGATTTTCTGATTAAATTTAAACAAAACATTATTATCATACATGAACTTTACTAAGGATATCTGTAGAGTCATTGGAAAAGTTTCAGAAAAAGTAAACTTCACGCAAGCATGGCTTTATTATGATATATTTATATGTAAATAATTTCTTGAGATTAAATTGTTTCATCGATAATTTTTTTTTTCTTTCAAACTATTAGACATAGCATGATGTTTTCATGAGTATTTTTTCATGAGAAAGTACAAAAAATACGATAGGATGGATTGCTTACCTTTTGGTACTAATAGAACCTACTATTGATCAATTTATTTTTGAGAGATATCAATTTCTGAATGCAATAAAACTGATATACTACATATTATAGAGAGCATAGATTTGTAATTCAATTTTTGAAGCTCATAATATGTTTACTATGAATCTTTCATTTCAAAATAAACTCGAAATATTAAAAGGCAAAAGAGTTCTTATTGAATTACTATAAAATCCAGATGAAAGAGACACTACTTTTTCAGAGACCGATAGTCTTTTGTGAGAGTCGTAGAATAATGAGTCTAATGCAAATATTGCTTTTTCTATTGTTTCAATGAGTGTTTTCTTAGCATCGTCTGATAAATATCACCAAAGTAAGCACAATTCGGATTGGTTGACATATCTAATACACTATGAACCTAAATCTTGAATTCGGTAATATTTTGATGAAATGCTACCCGTTTGACTGGATTTTCCAATTCATGTAAAGATTACTAACATTTAATACCTGTCTATGTCTAAAACTATTAATAATGAACGATACATATTTAGCAGAATAAGAAAAAGAACGGCAGATAAAAGTCTTGGATATGTGGAAAAAATATATGAAAGAGACTTTCATTAATAGGCTATATATTAGTATAAAAATCAACGAATAGGCTATATTTTTTGATTGGTTCGTATGCACTTAATCCAATAATAAACAATGAAAATGAGCAAGATTATACAAAGAACTTCTCGAAAATGGCACAGTGTAGAGGCAAGATAAAGGACGCATACAATGAACAGGGTAATGTAAAAAGGTACTTGAATCAATAGCGCTAAAAGACTGGGCAAAATGTACCGGAAAAAGCAGAGTAGTACTGAACTGGTAATTGACAAGGCCAAACGTCCTGAGGATTTGATGATGAGATAAAATGTACTTCTACTGATTAGTTTTTTTGCTGTTGTCCCCCCCACAAGGTTTACAAACTGGCCTATTCCAGGATTTGTGGTGATTCCGTCTTCTTTTTTATCATAATTAATATTTTTACATTGGCTGTATGCTAGAACGTAATCTCTAGCATTGGCTTGAATTTGTTTAGCAATTGTATTATATCCAGTCTCTTCCCTTTCCTGACTTTGACTTGGCGCATTCTGACTTTCATCAACTATTAAATAGTGCTGTACTCTTTCCGAAACAGCTTTTGTTGTTTTATTGATAAAATAATTATTCAATGGTAATACAAGATGCGATTCTGTTATTTTCAATATTTCATTTGTAATGGTGTCTGACACTAATTTCATTATCGTACTGAAATCGCTCATCTCCAACTCATACATGGCTTTACAAAAAGATTTTAGAAAATCTATAACCTCATGCTGATTCTCAGATAATCCACTAATATTGACGTAATTTAATTTATCGATAAAATTTTGATTCGCTAGTTCTTTATTTAGTTCGACTATCCCCTGTGTCTTCAGAAAGTTTAAAATTTCCTGCGAGGTCTCGTCACTGATTGAACAATAAGTGTGGAAAATCTGCGGCATTGATAAAGTTTCTTGATCTATTTCTTTGAGTTTCTCTAGAAGTTGTTTATCAGATTTTTCAGTAATAGTAGTTAATTCTCGTATTCCGTATAGAGTATTAGCTGTGATCAAAAACAAACTTGATGGTCCTTGCTCTCTGTGTGTTTGTGATAAAATATTAGATAAATTACAACTAAAAGAATTCAATAGTTTATTCCAGGAATTACGCTCAAAACTAATCATTCTAGTTATGATCTTTTTGATCATTTCTTCAAACTTTTGATTTTTACTTATTCTATCAAGTGCATACATTTTGCGTAAGATTTTCATCAAATCTGAGTTACAGAACTTATTAATAACTTCATTTTGAATTGAATTCGATATCTTTATTTTCACTTGCTCGAATACAAAGTTAGTTCCAACATTTGATAATTCTTTTAAGCCTACTCTTAGCATGTTTTCACCGATGGTGACTCCTACTTGTTTTGGGACCAAGCTTTTCAAATTTTCTCCCGTCTTAATTAAAACCCCCCGCACTACTCTATTATTTGTCAAGGTGCGTGTGGCAATTTGCTCACCCACTTCTCTTTCTGCGGCAATAAAGAAAACCTTAATTCCTTTGTCTGAATTCCTAATAATTGAAAATGCCGTTGTAGTTGCTGAAATAGCTAAACTCACCACTTTTTGCTGTCCATAATCTGACCAACTAAAGTTTCTTGTACTATAGGCTCGATAACAATTGAAAAAATCTGCTCCTCCTTCAGTAATCAAACTCATTCCTGGATTGGCTAAAAGTCCAGTTGTTACGAGAAATCCACCCATTGCCATTTGGGCAGAAGCTATACCAAATAAAATACTGATACTAATCCATGGAATGAAACTCTTTTCATTGATTTCAGGTAAATATTCGATGCCTCGTCCAGAGAATTCTGAAAGCTCCAAATCTGAACTCAAATCGTTCATAAACATATCTCTTAGATTTTTGGTTTTATTTATTTGGATGTCTTCTTGATCTATTGGAGCTTTTTCTATAAGACTTATTACTTGATCTTTTTCTAATTTTTTGAATGTCAAACTGAAATCTGCCCTTACTTTTCTTATTTGTTCAATAAGAATTTTGGCTTTTTCTTCTTTTAATTCATCAAAATAAATGTTCACCGATTTACCGTCAATTCCGTTTAATAGTTTTTGAGTATCGACTTTAATGAGACGAATATTAAAAGTTGCATCCGGACAAATAGCAATAGTTTGTTTGATTTGTTCTTCGCTCACTCCAATTAATATAATGATTGCTGTATCATCTAAACCACTCTGAATTGTACTCTCAGCTTCTATTTTATTTGAAAATTTCTGTTTTCTTGTTTGAGAAGAATACATTTCTATTATCTGTATGTCTACAGATCTTATTACTTTTAAAACTTGTTCTTTTTTATCAAATATTTCAAGATTAATACTTTCAGAATTAATCTTTGCCACTTCATTCACATCTTGCCCATTTAATTCTGTGAATTCGGCAGTTACTAGTGATTCATCCATTACTTTAGTTGTAACAACATTGGATATATCATTGGCAGAGAGAAAAGTTATACTAAAATATTCTTTATCTTGTGTTCGGTTTTTAATGATTTCTATTGCTTCTTTTACTTGTATGTTTCTATTTTCTTTTACGGTATGGCCATTACGAGTAATGTCTAAATCGACTTGATATGAGTCGGGACGAAAAATTTTCGGCAATAAATGAGAATGAAAAATTGAACTTTTATCCTTCAAATATTTTAATGCCGTTTCTTTTGTAGCATGTGGAATTTCAACATTACGATCGAACAACTGTTTTAATGTGTCAGCATTAATGTTTAATAGAGTGATGCTGATTTGTTGATAGTCTATTTCTGAAGATTCTCCTGTTATTGAGAGTTCTTGGCTAGGCGTTTTTCGCAATTCTTTTACTGCTGCGTCGATAGTCTGTAAGGCTTGATCAATAGTTCCTATGTCTTTTCTAACGGTTAAATTATTAAAGGTTACTTCGTATGTTCTATCTCCAGGTAAATTTCCAAGAGTTGACGGAAAATTTTCTTGAATGCAACCCTTATTCGACAGAACTTTTTCATAAATTTGTTTATAGATTTTAAGATTCGCTTTTCGATCCAGAATATTTCCGTTGTAAGACAGAGATTCGAGAGATTTCTTCAACTCAGAATTGTCTACTTTCCATGTACTCAATTCATCCTTATTTTTCTGCCTAAAAATAACTATAAACTCTATAGAAGTTTTCTTTATTATAATTTCTTTACACTCTCGAACAGCAGTTTCAAAGAGATCTGTGTTATTGGAAGGTATTAAACGTATTTCACAAAACGTTCCACTACCTTTAACAATATCTTCATGTGATCTTGTTTCTTCTAACATGTGATTGTTTTGATTCGAATAATCTATTATTTCTCTTATTTGAATTATTCTTTGAGATTTCCTTATAACATCTATAAGAGTCTTGATATGATTACAATAAGTAGCTAAAATCTTACTTTTCTCAAATAACTGTTTATATAGAGGAGTATTCGCAACGGAGCATCGATTCGCTAGAAGTATATGTATACATTTTAATGAATCCATTTCCTCGATTAAAATTTCCCGTGCACTTTCAAATAATCCAATAGCTGTATCTTTGTAGCCTAATTCTTGTTGATTGGAAAACACGATTCTTTCTTTACCTTTTAGTAAAAGCGATCCTTTTCCAACAAATGCAGCTGCACAATGATCTCGATCAAGCTCTATGGCTCGATCAAAATGTTCCATTGCTTCATCATATTTACTATTGAATGATGAATCGTTGATAACTAAATCATTACCGATGATGACGTGATAGTAAGGATTTTTTATAGTACGGCCTTTTTCATAATCTTCGTTTACTTCCTTGCTAAAATCATCAAACTCAGAATGAATTTTGGTGCAGTCGATGGGTGATTTTGCATTATCAATTTTACGTAAAAACACCGCCCATTGTTCCTCAATACTAAGTAATGTGTTCAACTCAACAACAGAAGGATTCACATGCTTGAATAGATCCTTGAGAGTATCTTTCACCGCTGTCAAAGATTTAGTTTTTTTTCGAATTTTCATACGTATTTCGTATAATAACGAGCAAAATCTTTTGAAAAGTTCATCTTTTAAATTAATTACTTTTAATTCATTTTGTTCAAAATCATCTAACATGCCCTTTTCATATCCATCTCTAAGCTGTGTGATTTTGTCTATGTCGAAATTTTTGTAGTGAATTAAATGAATTGCATTTAGTATTTTTTGACTTGTACCTCGTTTACCTTGTCGAGAAGTTCTGCCTAATGCTTGTTCTTCAACACGTCGATTTGTTGGCATAAAAGTTACAATAACATGAAGACCACCTTGTTTTTCTATTTCATCCGTTTTTATATCTGTACCACGTCCTGCTAGATTAGTAGCAACAATTATTTCTCCAGGATATATTACTTTAATATTCTGTTCTTGATTCATATTATTCATTGTGTAAAGTTTAATCGCACTCGAGCGAGATTTTCGTTTAAGAAGTTCTTCTGAGATAATTTTGCAATGATCGATTGTCTCGCAAATTATCAAAGTTCCTCTTTCTTTATTCGACTCATTAATTGCAGAATTGCAGATTTCTTCGAGCCAATCTGCATCATTAGATAGTATAATATCAGAAAAAGAGACATATTGTCTTCTACGTTGACTAGGAATGAAAGCTAAATCTACGTTGTAAATGTTTTCTAATACTTGCTTAGCTCTTTCTGAACCTAATGTGCCTGTAAAGCCCAATAAATTCGAACCATACTTTTTAAAATATCCTACATTAGAAAGAAAATTAGTAGTAAAAGTTTCAGATGTCATTTTTAGATTATGTTTCAGTTGCAAAAATTGATGTAATCCATCACTCCAATTTGAAGAACTTTGTACGACACCTGTACTGTTATAATCGACTGGTTTAATCAAACCTTCATCTACAATGTAATGTACGTTTTCTTGATAGACCAAAGCTATTATAGCGCTATTTATCCATTTAGGTATTTGAGTATCAACAAAATTTTCAAAGTTTTTCGGTATTTTCAGCTTTTCTTTAATAATCTTCCTAATATGGGTATCCAAATTATTCTCAATGAACTTATCAAATTCATCACCATCTGGAATTCTTAATCCAATATGACTTATATTCGAAACAGAAGCTAGATAAGCTTTTAAATCTTTAATGAGAAATATATCTCCTTGGTCATCGGCACTTTCTAGAACAAATCGATTTTGTTCAAATTTTATTTTTCCGTAAAATAAATATGTTTTGCCGTCTAGCTGAATAATTTTATTCTGTAACAATAAAAGCTGATTCCATAATAAATGATAAATTATCTGCAACTGATCCATGCCGGCGATAGTTGTTGCAAGTCTGGCGATCTTCGAACTATCATCAATAAGCATAACATCTACCTCATCAACTATTGCAATATCGCATTTTCTCTCTCCTAATGTATTAAGCTGGGCATATTCTGTTCTTAATGTATCGAATTGAAACTGTGCTACTTCACCATAAACAATATCCTTTTTATAACAAACTTTTGGACCCGACAAATAAACAGCCTTATCATTATTATGACTACAATCAAAACCGAACATTTTATAGAATTGAGCCTTTTCTTTTGCATCTCTTTCAGCAAGCACTGGCGAACTAGTTATGATATCTACTTTTTTACCCTTTAAAGCATGAAATACAGCTAATACACTTACTATTATCGACTTACCTTCACCCGTTGCAACTTGTAATAATCTTCCTTTCTTATTATTCGAATTTAAAGCGACTAAACAGCTCAAAATTTGAGTATCCGTTAAGTTAAAATTAGCATCTAATAAAGTTGCTCGCTTTATTACTGTTAATGCTTCTATAATAAAACTATCTTGATTTCTATAGCCATTAGCTTTCTTTTTCACTAAATTTGCCCAGAGCTGAATATTCGCTTCTGTCCACATACTAATAGAGTTATTAAATGGTAAAAACCCAGTATCGTCTTTTTCATTGGTAAACAAAGAAGTCGATGATGGATTTTTAATTCTTTCTATCCAATCTACTAGGTTTTCTGTGGTTAAATATTTAAAATGAGAATTTTGAATAATGAATTCGTCAACTAATTCTTGTGAATTTTTCTGCTGAATTTCATTGGAAAAAGACTCTTCAATGGCAATTTCATACACTTTTATTGGCCATTCTTCTGGTAGACTTCTCAAAACTATCAAAATTTTTTCCTTATTTGCCAAAGAAATTTTATAATCTAATACAATTTTGAGAACTTGAACAAAATATTTTACTTTGTTCTGATAATTTGATTCTGTAAAGACTTTGAATAAATCATTTAAGTATTCAAATGGCCAATTTCGGTCTAATAATTTATCTAGAATAGTGGCTAATTTAAACTTATTAACATTTTCTATATGATTTCCCAAAAATTTTATTTCTAGCGATCTTCTAAATATAGAAATTGCTCCATTCTCTACATAAATGTCAGATATTTTGATCTGATTTGCTTTAGCAAATTTTAGAAGTTCTTCAAACTCTCCTAAATTCCCAATACTTTTTAGTGCATGTAACATCTTTCGACTAAGATCAAAGTTGAATTTCGACATCATATCACAAGATAAGCCTTCAATATATTCTAGTCTGATATCTTTTTTGCCAGCTAAACGGTGATGTATCATTACTGCTAGGCATTTATTTTTCATATCATTAACTGGATTTCTACTTTTCAATAAAGTGTTTTGTGCATCTTCAAAAGCAATGTCTTTTAAAAGTTGTATCGTTTGATAGAATTCATCAAGCGAAATAGGATTATTTACTAAAAAACGTTGTATCTTTTGCAATATTATCGTACTTTTACCATTCGCGTACTCTCTGTGTTCTTCAATATGAGACCAAGCGTGATCCAGTTGCTCCTTGTTCGTTTTAAATCTTTCTACTAAATCAAATATTAAAAGTTCTCTGTACAAATGATCTCTGGACGTGACGCAGATCTTACTAAAATCGCAGAAGTTAGATGAAACTATAGTTTCTAGTAGATCCCAATCCTTATCTACTTCAATTCGAGCTTCTTCTTTTAGCTTTTTAATGACGTCATCACACCATTTGATAAACACTGCAGAGTTCAAACCCTTCTCATGAGCTGCTCTTAGACCCCTAAATGCCCAACTCCGAATCATTTCACTACTATTAGCAAGATTGTTCTCTAGATGTTTTAATTCTGAAATTTGTGTAAATTGAGATGCCAGAGCAATGCATATAAGAATGTCAAAATAGAATTCTGCATTATTATTCTGGCTTAAGATATCATTAAAGAAATCGAGTACACGGGGAAAATTGTTTGTTTTGCATTGTGTTCGTTCTATGATCTCTTTATACGCATTTAAAATATTTTTTGTCACAATTTCTGATAGAATAGCTTTTTCTAAGCCGTCAATGAATGGATTCACGCGATCATCAAAAGTATCTATTAGAATTAAGGCATAAATATCTGCTAATTTTTCTTTTAATTCTCGATTATTATGAATGCATCCATCTGAAATATTGCATGCAAGTAAATGGTCAATAGATGAATTAGAAATTTTTCTACTTTCATCAAATTCCTGCTGTATATTTTTTAAAAGTTTATGGAGGATTTCTAGGTCGATACTTGCCGTTGAATGAATGTGCGATGATAAATTTATCTTCTCTTGCAGTGCTTCCGAGATCGGTTGATTTTTTGACACGTATGTGAGTATAACTATTGGCTTTCTTTCTTCTTTCTGATCAACAATAAGTGATATAATTTCATCTGTAACAGTTCTTCCTGATTTAACTATTTCAGATATTAATTTCCAACACATTGAGTTGACCTGTTCTGACTTAGTTCTTCTTAATAAATCAACGACACTGTCTAGTAATTCATTCGGAATTCTTTCCTTATTTGAACATTTTAGTAAAATGCTTAGAGCCTGAAATATTAGGTCTGTACTCTCATTAATGATTGAATTAATCTTCTCAAAATATTGCTTGAGTAATATTGGTTCCTTCAACTTATTCAATACATATAAAAATTCACCATTTGAATCGTATTCCAAAAAAAAAGATTTATATCTCACTTCTTGATTACCTTCTAATTTAGAACGTTTTAATAACTCGCCAATACCTTCTGTTATGCTTTCATTGCAGACGTTATTGTGTATTATTTGTAAAAGTAGTTCAATAGTTTCTTGGTCGAGTTCAATTTGAGGAAGTGAAATTAGTGTTTTAAATCCGCTTATGCTTTTAAGAATAACTTCTGGATCATTTGTTTTAAGAGCGTGAACTAAAGCTTTTTGAACAAGACAGATTATACTTGTATTGAATCTGTTCTTATTTGTATCATGAGGAGGATTTTGTTTACGACGTTCGAGTTGAACATTCTTATCGATAATAGAACATATAAAAGGAAGATATTGATGCATAGTTGATGGACTTTCTGTTAATAAAAACTTCTGAAGAATTTTATGAATGACCTCTTCAGGTAGATTTTTACCTTTTTGTCCTTGAAGTAGAAAAATGAATAAAGCATCATTTGAAATCTCTAGATTCTCCAAAGCAATTTTTAGTTTCCTTGAAAATTCTTCCGATACATTCTGGTTATTTTCAACTATTTTTTCAAAGATTTTAATCAAGAAAGATTGTTTAAGTCGCGGATTGAATACCTCTTCAAGCTTATTAATTAAATCATTTGGTATCATCTGTCCATTTTTTGAAACATATAACAAAATGTTTAAGATCTTTTCATTGCGTATCAATGAATCAGATTCTACTTTAGTTAAAGCTTGGAAAAAGCTTTTCGTAACCTTTTTTCCTTCCTCAGTCCTTTCGCATAAATAAGGAATAGAATCACTAGTATCATCTAACGTGCTCCTGATAGCGCGACTTGCCCTTTCTAATTCCAATATATCGAATAGTTCATCTGATATATCTTGATTATCATTGGCCATATCCAAGATATCAAAGGATTTTTTTCGTATTACATCGTTGTCTAATAAATAAAAGTTATCAGCTACAACATGCAAAAGTTTTTCAGTAATTGTTCTATGCTTATTAACTATATTTTCCAATAATTGTAAAACTCTATCGGATAACCCAGCTGTGTTAGCGATATTCTCTAATGCAAAAATGGTACTCTCAGGAATATTAGACCTGTTACTTGAGTATTTGATAAGTATTTCTACTGCTGTTGATAAATAGTTATTTTCTAACGATAAAATATGGTTGAAAATTGGAAAAATATTCTCCTCAAATTGATAATTTTCCGCTTCGTTTGACAGTATAGTTAGAATACTTGTGTTAACTAATACAGTAAAGTTTTCTGCTTCTAATTGTAATTCTTCACGTTCATAAATGTTGGACAAAAAGTCAATGTGACTTTTCATGATAGGTTCTTTGGCTGATGATAACTTCCTCAAACCTCGAGCGTAAGCTACTGTTGAATAGACAGAAACGTCGGATATATTACTGTCAACATGTTCTCGTAATGCCAATAAGGCGCTATTTCTAATGGTATGTCTTTCTGAGGCCAAATATAATGCTTTTGCTGATAAAATACAAGTTTGTCTATCATCACAATCAATTGCTTTGACAAGATTTTCAATCGATTTATCGTTTATTTCAGCATTCTGTCGCAAGGAATTAACAAAAATTTTAGCAACAATTGATGATACGGATTGACAACTACGATATTCTTGTGAACTATGCTCGAAACTAATATCATCATCATCTCGAACTAAAACCCAGTCTTCTAACAATTTTTCGGATAATTTATCAACAGCTTTTATGATTTTGTATCCAGAAAGAATTTCGATTATCAGAATACAAAGTATATCAACTTTATTGCTGCCTCTGTTAATGTATTCAGGAAGTCTCTCGATCACAAATTCAGGCAAATCTTTATTTTTCTCAATGGTTAAAACTATTGATTTTAATCCTTCGGCTTTAGCACGTTCACTGTATTTCAAATTATCTAAGAAATGAACGTAACTTCTCAGCTGACGTTTATTCAAGCCACCAGAAGACCTAAGTGCAAGATAACTATTAATCGTCTCACACACTTTTATTACCATCTCTTCATTTAAATCACATTTATTATCAAGTAAATGGATTATGGTCGTTATTATACCTTCGTTAAATAATTCTTGACATAGTGTCTTATCCCTGCTTTGCTGGTAAATATGCTCTATGAATGATTCTACACCCTTACCGGTTTCGAGCAGCTTCAAAAATTTATCAAGCACTTCTTTACAATGTACAATATTTTTATCGTTCTTCATGACTAATATTTCTGTTAGCTTTTCTTTCCATTCATTATCATTGGTTTGCAACCATTTTTCATTTATGTGTTTGCATCGTTCATCTGTTAGAATTTCGCTATTCCACTGTATGCAATTATAAAATGCTGAAGTTGCTGCGAGTCTTATTTTTCTTAATTGAAGATGGATAATTTCAACTTGTTCTTGACTGCCCATTTCATGTTGAATGCTACTAAGTTGTAGATATTCTTTTAAAAATTCATCTTTTTTGGCATTCTGGATTTCTTGATTAATAAGTACTCTCAGAATCAGAATAAGATGTTCAGAAACTTTCCCTATTATTCCCGTGATTTGGAAATTTTTAAAAACTTTCTCTTCTAACTCTTTAGTGCTGTCAAAACATTCCACAAGTAAATTTATTGTGTTTGCGTTTAATCTCTTTTTTTTTGATATCTTATCAAATATCTCAGCAATCATTCTATCTGCAGCTAGTGTCTTTATCAGCAGCATACTGCAAAAAATAAATTTTTTGTGAAATCCTAAAAATCTCGACGGTAAATAGTCGTCCCTATCTTCTGCTTTTATTTGTATACCATTTTTCATTCTGTTATACAAACTTAAGACTGTATCATAAGTATCATCGAAGAATCGTCTATCATTTCCCTTCAAATCCGGCGTGCTTGGAAGAATTTCTTTGTCGGAGTCAATTTCAATGTTTCTTTTTCTAATCGTCAGAAGATCCACCAAATCTGAGGTATCAGTCAATGCTTCGAATTGACTATTTTTATATTTTACTTTACTTGTTTGTTGAGTTTTTGTTACTGCTGCTCTTATCTGTCGTTTAGGGTAATTTGCAAATACTTTCAATTGTATTTGAATCTTTGGTCGATAAATATTGTCATTTGCATATTGTTGATCATTAATTTGCTCATACAAGAAACTTAAAGATTCACTATTAATTTCCTTACCGTTGCTATTTACTATAGTTTTAATCTGTTCTACTAAATTTCGGTCGATCATGCTGTCAAAATCTTTGCGGTGAGAGTTTTTAATCTGATAACCTAAAGCCCATATGATTTCGGATTTCATACCAGCAGAAACAGTATTTTCTAGTATGGTCATCAGTCTTTTCAGTTCTATAGGGAGAAATCCTTTTTTAATAGAATATTTTATAGCCTGAGCAAGACATAGTTTAATGGAATCGTTCACATTATTATCTATCAAGTCATTGCAAATCTGTTCATATTTATCATCTGGTAGGCCATGCTTACGTGCGATGTACTTTATTTCGGTTGGCACTGACAAATGAAATTGCTTATCCAGTTTATACCCTTCATTAAGTTTCTCGTGAATCAATTTTTTCTTATAACTCTTATATATTTTGGTGAGTTCTGCTTTAATGTTCACTCGTTTTTCTTCCATAGATTTCACTGCTTATTAAAAATCCAATGAGAACAACCAACAGAAAAATAGCGAAAAAAAAGCAATACATCCGAAATTGACTGACGAGGGAACCTTTTCAACTGTCCAATTGCTTTTGAGTTCGAACCCAGTGTGAAAGATAGACACCAATGAGGTATGAAAAGTCCCAAAAGAATAAGTGCCCATAGGCCTTCTGTCCAGAGTTATATGCATTTTACTGAATTTTTAGCCTATGACACGGTATATTCCAAAAAATTGAATGATAATATTTCGAGCTGAGATTTTGCCCAGAGATAGGTCTATGTACCAATAGAATGCCCTGAAAATTTCAGCCCAAAAGAATCTTTCAATCTCAAGATACTAAACACGCAAAAAGCAAAAAAGTCTAACATCGTCCGCGGGATATGCGCGGTTTTTGGGTGTTTAATATCTTGAGATTGAAAGATTCTTTTGAGCTGAAATTTTCAGGGCATTCTATTAGTGCATAGACCTATCTCTGGGCAAAATCTCAGCTCGAAATATTATCATTCAGTTTTTTGGAAAATAACGTGGCATAGGTTAAAAATTCAGTAAAATGCATATAAGTCTGGACAGAAGGCCTATGGGTACTTATTCTTTTGGGACTTTTCATACCTCATTGGTGTCTATCTCTCACACTGAGTTTGAACTCAAAAGCAATTGGACAGTTGAAAAGGTTCCCTCGTCAGTTCACCGATGGCTACAGAAGTGGAAATCAGTTCTCGTGTCTCACGAGGGAACATATGCAAGTGTAAAAAATCTTTTGAGTTTGGACTATGTTCATAAGGTAGACCCCAGTGAGCTATGAAAAACCCTAAAAGGATAAAGGCTGTTAGGCCTTCTGTCCAGAGTTACAGGTACTTTACTGGAATTTTAGCCTGTGGCATGATATATACCAACAAATCGAATGATTGTATTTCGACCTGATATTTTGCCCATAGATAGGTCTACATTTCAATAAAATGCCTTGAAAATTTCAGCTCAAAAGAATATTTTCTTCTCGAGATATTAAAGTCTGAAAAAACAGAAAATTTTAGCATTTTTTGTAGCATAACAGTCATTTTTGGGACTTAAATATCTCAGGAAGGAAACATTCTTTTCAGCGGAAATTTTCAGGGTATTCTACTCATAAATAGATCTGCTTGTAGGCAAAATATCAGGTCGAAATACAATCATTCAATTTGTTGGTATATATCATGCCATAGGCTAAAATTCCAGTACAATACCTGTAACTCTGGACAGAAAACCCAACAGCCTTTATTCTTTTAGGGTTTTTCAAAGCTCCCTGAGGTCTACCTTATGAACAGAGTCCGAACTCAAAAGATTTTTTACACTTGCATATGTTCCCTCGTCAGAAAGAGAGCAAATTGACAGTATCAAGTTGTAATCTAGCATTGTAGAAGATAAATATTATAAGTTGAAAGAAGAGGAGACGTTTTAGGTGCATTTCAGCCCAATTAGAAAGTGAATGTAGTTTTGTTTGAAACTTTCAGCGAATGCTCAACTAAATGTTAGTAGCCATCGCTGTAATTTCCAGCTTGATCCGTTAAACTTTCCCTTCATTTCAATCCATGAAAAGTATATACCCTAAATACAGATAAAATTCTCTACAGGGGTAACATTGGGAACCTTCGTTCTCCACTATTTCATTCAGGCCCAAACTGTTTTGTCTAGGATCACTCCAAATCAGTTGGAGCTACAATATTCCAAAGACATGAGGTGAAGGGAAACCTGCCGCGTTATCACTATGTAGTGCATGGTTCCCAAAATTCATGAAAAAGTGCTTACGGTGGGTAACATTGATGAACCTTGTCCTCGACTATTTCATCCAGACCCAGAGTGATTTTCCTAGGACCACTTCTAATCAGTTGGGGCTACAATATTGCAACGAAATGACGTCAAGGAAAACCTGCCCTGGTATCACTAACAACTGCATAGTATCCAAATCATTGAAAAACAGAAGTCGAAACAGGTTACATTTTTTAGACCTGCACGACTTGTCAGGACCTCTCAAGTTTTTCGAGCGAGTACAGTCATGATCATAGACTGGAAACCAGAAGCTCAAACAGGACACTAGCACTATTGCTCAACCTGCTCTTGAGCTACCTGCCATAGGCATCATCCATGGTTTTAAGACTAGTGAAAGTGATAGGCACAGGCAAGTCGATAGGTGCAAAATTCTTTGGTCCTCTGACTTGCACCTGTATGAAAACAATGAGTGACGTCTATGATGGGCGGGTCAGAATCAGGTTGAGCAATAGCCCTAGTGTCCTGTTCGGACCTCTGGTTTCTAGTCTGTTATCATGATTGTACACGCTCGAAAAATTTGAGAGGCCCTGGCAGGTCGTGGAGGTCTTTAAAACGTGATCTGTTTGGACCTCTTTTTTCCAACGATTTCGGATACTATGTACTCCATAGTGGTATCACAGCAGGTTTTCCTTGACGTCATTTCGTTGCAATATTGTAGCCTCCATTGATTAGGAGTGACCCTAGAAAAATCACTCTGGATCAGAATCAAATAGGGGAGAACGATGGTCAACAATATTACTTCCCATAAGCATTTTTTCATGAATTTCCGGAACCTTGTACTTCATAGTGATATCACGGCAGGTTTTCCTTCACCTCATGTCGTTGCAATATTGTGGCCCTAACTGATTCGGAAGGAGTCTAGTAAAATCACCGTGAGTCTGAATCAAATACCAGAGAACGAAGGTTCCCAATGTTACCCTTGTAGACAATTTTATCTGTATTTAGGGTATATACTTTTCATGGATTGAAATGAGGGGAAATTTTAACGGATCAAGCTGAAATTTTAAGCGATTACTACTAAGATCTAGTTAAGCAATTGCTGAAAGATTCAAATGCATCTACCTTCACCTTCTAATTGGGCTGAAATGCACCTAAAACGTCCCTCGACCTTTGTGGGAGCGAGCGTCGAGTGTGAGTGTGTGTAGGTGCACATGTGGTTGTGGATGTGGATGTGGGGTATCAGTGTAAGTGTAGGTGAAGAGAACACCGAACAACACATCCACAACCACATCCACTTCCACCTTCACACGCATACCAACTTCTACATCCATACCCACGCCCACTTATACCTTCACACCTACACCTACTTGCACCTTCGCATCCACACCCACATCCACGTCCACACCCACATCCACGTCAACACCCACATCCACGTCTACACCCACATCCACGTCCACACCCACATCCACGTCCACGCTCACATCCACGTCCACACCCACTGCTACATCCACACCCACGCTCACTTCCATACTCAACACTCAACCCCACCTCCCCCGTCTCCGCCCACACCCACAACCCACACCCCTACCCAGAGCCATTTCAGTATAAAAAAAATCCTGGAGGAAGACATAGTTTTAGTTATTTATACTAAAAGCTTATAATAAGACATGTATACGTCAGTATATGTGAATTATAACTAGAGAGGAAAGATCCCCAACTGGTCCACTGCGTTTTACAATCATATTTTGTTCCTACGTTGGGATAGTTATTCTAAGAAAAATTTTAAGAGGATTTGGGCTAATGGTGCTTCCTACGAGGGTTATGGCAGTTTCAATGGTTTTTCGGCCTAAAGCGAAATATTTACAATAAATCGGATAACAAAATTTTGACCTGAGATTTTGCCAATATGTAGCCCGCATGACCCTTGCAAGCGCTACAAGTTTGAGCGAACAAGGTGCTTGCTTCTCGAGATAATGAATTTGTAAGAAAAACCCACATTTCGCAGAGGGCTCAGAAAAACGGAGTTTTCTTCGACACCCATTTTCTCGAGAACCAAACATTTTTGTTCGCTGAAACTTTTAGCATACACTGAGGACTATGGGGTCTATCTATGGACAAAATAACAGGTCAAAATGTTGTCATCCAATTTTTTTGTAAATACCTTCCCATAGGCCGAAACATCAGTAAAATCGTCATAGCCTCCGGAGAAAACATTATCAGCCCAAACCCTGTCAAGATTTTTCTAAGAATGATCTCGACATATAGAAAAAATGTCATTGAAACCGACATGGATCAGATGGAGACCCTCTCTTGTAAGAAGAACTTTAAAACATGTGTTCCTAACAATTCCTATTCTTAGAGGAAAACATACATAAGACCTACTTTCAAAAAAAGGGAGTTGTTCAAAACATTATTAAAGATTCTGATGCTGACTGCTACCCGAAGTCTTCAAAATGGTACTCACTGAAAAGTGGTTTCACAAAAAATGAACGAAATCTTTTATGATTTTTTAATAAAAACTGTTCAGTTCTATGGATAAGGTGTGGCGTTATTCAAACCTATCCCTTATCTCTATAGAGAATAAATAAAAAAGGTCTTCTCTCAATCCTATAAAGGATTTTGAGTTGTCACGATATAAAAGCCTTTATAGGTTTCCGAGAAAGCGTTGCTAAACTCGCGAAAAACCTACCGGAAACTCTAAAAAGCATTTGAAAAAGCTCAAGGTTTCAGAAAACCAGTAGAGATTTCCGGGATTTCGAAAACCATAAACAGACAGTCTAAAGAGAAATCGGACATTTTAGACCACTTCCACCGTTCCTGAAGAGCCGTTTCGCTCAATGCACAAAAAAATTGCATGAATCTTTTCAAGGTATACCAGGACTGTAGTGGAGTGATTATGTGAAAGTATTTTGTCCAACACAGTTACTTTTGAGAAACATAATTAT